GGGGGGGGGGGGGGGGGCTGCTGGGGGGTTAAGGGCTTTGAGGGGAGGGGTAGGGGAGAATGTTCGCATGGCTAAGACGGAATATTTAGCTAATATTGACACGATATTGCGAACCTTTTCTGGTAGCTGACGGAAAGGTTTTACGGGGAGAAAATAGAACTGAAGAGTATGCCCGTGGCAAAAAAAGAGTCTGTTGGATCTTGAGTCCAGACTCTTAATAAAGCCTATTAAAGTCTAAAAGAATTTTTCGAAGAAACTGTATCATTTCATTTTGCTTAAATTGTTGTAACTTTTTTGACTTACACCAGAGCGTTTGATATTGTGGAACACTTCTGTTATGAAATAGTTGCTTGAGGCGCTGCGCCGGCGGGCAGCCGGCCAGCGCCTACAAACCTAAGTGGATACTTCAAGCATTGCGCAATGCGCGAAGTATCCACTTAGGTTTCTAGGCGCCAGTGCGGGTTCCGCGCTGGCATAACAGTAGGCCGCGCCGGCCTTCCCGCTGTGTTAGGCTCTAATATTTTAACTCGCGGGGTCAGCGTTTTTCAACTCATGATTGTGAAACGGCGTCAAGTCGGCCGACGAAACAAAGTCGGCGACTCATTCTTCAGGACGCAAGAGATAATTTTTCGTCAGGACGTTATAATTCGATCTTCCGACAAAACTCGAAAGAAATCACACTGCTGAAAATGTTGCCTCCATGGACTAAGGTCAGTAACAAGGCGTGAATGATCGATTATCGATATTTCTTCATTTTGCGCTACGCTAAGGAATCGATTGTTAAGGTGTTTGTTGCAAACACCCTGTTTATCGATCCTTTTCGACAGGTTTAAATGGCGGATCAATCTATACATAGCAAAGCACGCCACGCCACTGACGAAGATCCTCTTTCGCGAATTCGGTCCAAATAATTACTGTGAGTGACGAAAAGCACATTGCATCGTTCCGGATTCTGCGATTTCAGGAACACTTTCAGCGGGACGGTCGGACCCGGGACCCTCCTTGCATCCCTTCGTCTCTGAATCCCGTGGGCAGCCGGAAAGAGACAGGGTTTCGTTGGCTCGAGGGGTGAGCAGCGTTGTCAATTCGGGAGGAAAATGAAAGAAGTTGCATGTAAACGGTCGTGAAAAACTCGTCCGACTTGGCAACGCGGTCGGCGACCGAGTTCGCGTGTAACACACTCGCGGTGTTGTGTTACAGGAGCGAGCGAACGGGACCTTTTGATCTTCGACGGAAAAGCGCCCTGGATATTTTTGGGAGAGATGCGAGTCTCCCGGCGACTGTGGTGCCATAACGGTATGAAAAACGACTTTTTTGGCAGTAGAAGTCGGCTAACACGTTGGTTGCATATGAGTTGCATTGCTTTTGTATGTGTTTGCAAGAACTTCATTTTTCAAAGTGTAATTTGAACTTTGAATTCCTGCAAATGCTCGGTTCGAATGTCCTACGGTTCTTATCAGTAAATGTTGGTTTTCTTGTGTTACAGACGAGCTGATGTCCAAGGCGCATTTTTACGACATAAATGCCGAGGAGTCCGAAATTCAAAAATTCTACAACGGGCAGACGGTATTCATCACGGGTGGAACCGGATTCTTGGGAAAAATCATCATAGAGAAGTTATTGAGAGTAACCAAAGTTAAACAAATATATCTTCTCGTCCGACCAAAGAAGAACGTTCGACCTCAGAAACGCTTGGAGCACATGCTCGATGACCCAGTAAGATCTTCGTTTCCTTATTTACTTGTAAAGCAAAAATCAAGATTCAGAATTTGAGACTTACCCTGATTAAAAAATGAACCAGCATGAATGGATAGTATAAACTAACAGCTACACTGCCGTGCTAAGGAAGAACGCCGTATGAGCATTCGAGAGTTGCCAGATTTCCTTCAATAAAATGTTTATTGTTGAGAAAAGTTATGAATAATTTTCCTAGAAATTTTCAGGAACTTTAGGTACAATTGCAAAAACACATTAACAGAAAAATATTCATAAATTTGTCAGGAAATTCGTGTTTTATAAATGGAAATTTGGAAACGCCTAAAGGTTCATACGGCGTTCTTCATTAGCATGGCAGTACATGTAACTTTGATACCTTCGATCCGGAGTAGAATGAAAACATTTTTCTTGAAACATTATTTTGACTTAATCCGTCGTTTCTGGGATACTAAATTTGGTTTTTTTTAAATAAGGTAAATCCGAGTCGAATAAACTTGAAGTCAGTTTTTTTTAGTTAAAGAAACGTTGTATGGTTGTTTTTGTAGCTCAAACCTACCAATACAAAAACGACGCTTTTAAAAAGTTTTTTTGATTCTTGATGATTAAACGATTAACATGCACAGACATTAATAGAAAAACAACCAAATTTTAAAAATTAGTGAACATTTAATAACAGTAAAATACTCTTGATGACGTTGGCTACGACGCGCGACGGTGCACATTGGTTCCAGAGCCCGATCTAGGCGGCATTAATTCGAAAAAATGACTTTTGGAAAAATTGAAAAATAGTACAACTGGTCGACACTACATACTCTGGAGGGTATTTCGGCCAAATATCATAATGATTGGATGAGTGATAAGGAAATGATAAGCTCCTAAAGGTGAGCGCGCAGGCCGTTCTCTCTGCGGCTGTATCCATTTCCTCATTTATCTCATTCGAGTGATGTTCCTAATGGAGGTTTGTCGCCATCTTGGGCAAAGAAACAAGGTTTTGAAGGTAGAATCCTAATATTCAAGTGAATTTGAAGGTTTACGATGTTTAAATCATAACTTTAGATTAAGTCTATGGCTCTAGATAAACCGTTAGACATAGCGCTATTTTACGTTAATTTCGCGTAATTTTCCATATAAATGGCTGAAAACAACTACTTTGCCGGCCTTTGCCGGGTCTCAAACGGCCATTTCTAGTTAGTACTAATCCTAGGCATGATGTAGAGACAAATATCTTTTGCCAGTTTTTGCCTATTTGTGAAATACAGACTTTTAAAGGTCGCCCGCTCAGCCCTCATGAGTACTGTATGTGGGACGTTACGGGTGGGCGATATCGTTCGACCACTCAGGCAAAGTAAAAAAACTATTTCTCTTATGATATTCATCCAAAGGGAAGTTTATTTAATCGGTTTTCCAAAGAATTACAAAAAAATATCATTTCCATGGGCGTGCAAAACTCTGAGGAGATCAAAATTTTTCGTGTTAAAAATGATCTACTACTACCAAAACGGCCCAAAACAACTAGGTACTTTGCCGGGTCTCAAGTGGCCATTTCTAGTTAGTACTAAGTAATCCTAGGCATGGTACAGAGACAAATATCTTTTGCCATTTGAAGCGAAAAAAATATATTACAACATTTTAAATTTAAGGTTGCTCTGGAATTAAAAAATCAACAGGCATTGCAGTTTCGTGAATTTTTTCCTGCTCACTGGTCGAAATGGTTTGATAGGGGTGACACCCTTTTATTGAATTTTTATACTGCCATTTCTGAAACTGCAACTAGAAGTAGATTCCAAAAACAGATCGTGCTGACTGGATGCTGCGTGAAGTTATTCAATGTAACAACAACCCCCCCCCCTCCTCAACAAAAATAACCACCAGGGTCTAAATATTAGTAAAATAGAAGATCGCTCTTGATGACCATAATCATTAAATTTGTCAAGATTATCATAGTTCAAGCACAGAGCCACGTTGTCAAATTATTAATCCCGTGTTGAGTGCGAATTTGCTATTTTACGCATATTTACCATATTATGGTTAACGATAGGGTCAAATCGACTTTAGATTCGTGATCAGCGACCCAAAAAACCTATATGAGCATATGTTGCACGCTGGTAAGGGTGATATTCTAATTAATGCCGCCTAGATCGGGCTCTGGAACCAATGTGCGGTGGTACAGACAACCTTGCGTCGATGCAAATACCCGAGGGCTACCTTTATGTAAGGCAGGAAAACAACTGGGGAATAAAAGGGAGGAGATTAATTTTGACATCTTCGACAATTATATGCCAGTGATAAAGAGCATCTGAATCGATTTCCTTTGGAATGAGTGGATGAATGTGTGTTGGATCAGGGCTGGGAAGCTGAGCACTTCACGTGGAGGCGGCACAAATCCTCATCTCTCTTACATAAGGGCATATCTCAATTTTCACATGAGCCCTGTTTTCCATAAAACTCTATGCTTTTCAGGGCTTACGCGGAAATGGAGATATGCCTTTACGTCAGTGAGACGACGAAATTATGAAAAGCCGCTCGTAATTAGATCACGTTATTGGATAAGGGTTACACAATTGTGCGTTGCAGAACTACTGTGTGCCACGAAAGTTATCGATGGTAGCTTTTCTTCCAGCTACGATTTGATAGCTCCTTGGCACAGGTTTTTTGAAGGAAAATGGGTTATTGAAAGCAGGGTTTAAGATATATGAATTAAACATTACGAGTAAAATAGAAAAGGTAGTAAAAACGTGGATAGACAAGGCTACTTGCATTACAAAGGCAGAGAGCATTTTTTTAAAATATTATGTTTTCAGTCATGTTTACCATGTTCTACTATTTTTCTATTGTAATCGTAATTTTTTACTACGTTTTTGTGTGCTTCGTCGGTAAACACTACGTATTGTATTTTTCATCGAATTAAAAGAATCAAATGTTAGAACAATGCTCAAAGCACTCAAGACTCCCTGATCTACATACGATCGATCTTCTCAAGGTGGCAAAATTTCATGAAAAATAAAATCTTGAAATTTCGAGTGAAATATTTTAAAGAACTTATGACGGGTGTTGAAAAATACTGGTTCCTTTCCAAGTTTCGAGAAATGTAAAAATTGTGACTTTCTTCTCTTTTTGGACCTTTGAATGCAGGTTGCATACTCTGGCCCCTGAAAATTACCGAGTATTTCACAGCCTCGTGAAATATAACAAAATCACTGAAATTTCAAATCATGTATTTCTTTCTTAGGCTGTATGCCACCCTGACTCGACCCCCCTCCCTCCCCGCTAGAACGTTACGTAATTTACGGACGGCCCCATGAGATAAAGTGGTCAAAAGCCCAAGTTGATTTCGAGTCAACATACGCTGAGATTCTTAGATCGCTTAGTCTTAGTCTTATAATCCGCTAGGTTTATAGGTACGAAACGATGCGCGTGTTTGAAACAAGGCTTACTACATAACTCCAAGTGTCATTTCTCCTCCTCTTGTAAAAATAAATAATGATAATGACATGACTTTCAAGTAGTTTCTAGACGAGAGAATAAATAATGATAATGACATGACTTTCAGGTATTTTCTAAACGAGAGTTCAAATTCATTGTATTTGAATTAATTTTATAATTGTGTACCGTAAAAATTGTTCGACTTTTTCAACGAAATGAAGGTAAAAAACCAATTAGAAAAAAAAAACAAATTTTTAATACTTTAACTGACACGTCCCAGTTAATCTATGAATTAACTAGTTATTCTATAAAATAACTAGTTACAAAGTGTAATACAAATCTAATTACACACTTTAACTGGCTGCTTCAGTTAATGTATACATTAACTGAATTACATACTTTAACGCTAACATATCGATGATATGCCAAAACTTGGTAACATTTCAGGTGTTCGAGAGGTTGAAGCAGCACTCTCTGAAGAGCCTGGACAAGATGGACGTGTTGGAGGGTGACCTGGAGGAGGCCGACCTGGGTCTCTCGGACAAGGATAAGAAGAAGATCGTCGACGAAGTGACAATCGTCTTCCACTCGGCGGCCACGGTCCGCTTCAACGAGAACCTCAAGATCGCCACCCGCATCAACGTCTGCGGCACCAAAGAGACCCTCGCACTCGGCCATCAGATCAAAAACTTACAAGTAAGTTTCCAACTTTTATCGCCTCTCGTCCAAAATTGTTCAAATACAGGACCGGATTAGCGCTCAGGGGAGGAGGACGATTCCGCACAATTTTTTGATAAGTGCCGAAATAAATGAATATTTAACCATGTTGTGCTTGCCTCACTGTCGTCAGATAAGTTTAAGATATTTATGTACTGTTTGAGCTTGTATTTGTGGTATTATTCATCCAAGAGGTGCGGATCTCAGAGAAAGGTGATAAAAATTGTAAAGAGCCAGAGAGAGATTTAAATGTCGACGATCCCAATGAAAAAGTGTGCGGAAACGTCCTGCAGCCGCGCTTAGAGCCCAGGAACGCTGGTGGTTCGCATATTCTCTAAATTGAAGGCTGTCCAAATCTCCAACAAAAAAAAAATTGTAAATATAGCTATGGCCACATGACCCCCGAAATCCTGTCGAAATCCATGATTTAAACCTCAGGGGCCTTCAAAAATCTTGATTTCCAGGACCAATTATAACATTGGTAATCCGGGCTTCAAGACTACTAGGTTCTGAGTTGAAGAGTCCACGGGAATTGCCTTACTCATAAACCAAACTTACATGAAAGTCGACACATTCGTAAATTCTAGTCAGTAAAATATTTCGCGACATTATCCGCACCCCAAGAATTTCGGCATCTGGAGCCGCGATTTGCGGTCCCGGCTGACGAAATTTCGCAGAGGTAGGAAATGCTCGGTGGACTGTGCCGAGCTTTCTGCAATTCGGCTTTGCTGCCGAATATCGGCAACTGGAATATCGGCAATTTCGGCTCTAGCTGCCGAAATTCTCGGAGTGCGGGCACTACCAAAAAATGTTTCACGGTGCTCTTTTTAATCAAAAGTTTCAACCACACTTGCCCGGTTGGCTCTTACGATAGGAGCCGGTCTCCCACCTGAAGCGACCCGTTTACAGGACCCTGTCCTCGCGGAAAAGCGAGCGAGTCTTGCCGGTCTGACCCTTGGCCCCGCGGGACGGCGCGTCCCGCCTCCGGGCGGAACTTGAAAGCATTCCAAGAACGCGCGAAAACGAAATGTTGAGCTCGGAGACTCGGACTGTCTGCGAGCTCGGCTAACTACATTAACTTCCCTCGTTGGGATCCGTTCGATCGGTCGCAACTACTCCAACTACGTCGCCTCACCGCAACACCCACGCGGGGTTGCAGCCTCTCATTGCGAAGCGAATTTCCCGGAGGAAAGTGAAAAGCGGCGTTGCTCTGCGCGACGCATTGTTGGCATGCATTGCCATCCGTGACGTCACGAAGGAAAATTAGTTTCTTGCTAACTAGCATTGGAAAAAAAAAACACATTGGATCTAGAGTCCGGACTCTTAAAAACATCGACAAAAAAGAATATTCTTGATTAAATCGGATTTAAGCTTATATCAAGAACCAAGCCCCTTAATTTGAGCGGATTTCCTTTTGATTTAAGCAAAAATCTGATTGAATCAAGAGTATTTTTTCTTCTCAATGTTTTTCAAGAGTCTGGATTTTAGATCCGATGTTATTTTCCAGTGAGAGATATGCAAAGAGTGACGATGGGTCACTGAACCGTGTGCTATTCGGACCACATTTTGCAATGAGGAACCAATGCTTCCGACTCGTTTTGGAGAAATCATATGTGTCATTGGTTTCTCTACGCAGATAGGTGCACTTATGGAAGAGTCAGTGATAGTGGTTCCTAATTTCAAGATGCAATCCATTTATTTAAATAGAGTGTACACCCCCAGACCGCAACGCAACCCAACCGTCTGAAGTACACTTGAGAAAGGTCGTGGGAACCCGTGCTCGCTTCTGATTGGTGACATCATTCGGATTGGCGCGAAACCCGGGACGGCTTGAATTCGCGAAAGTTTATTAGCAACCTATTAGGTTTGAAGCAACCACTACACGTGGTTACGTGATAACGGCTGGGGTCAGGTCGCCACTCAATTTTTTACTTGTTTTTATGTGTTTTTGCAGCTGAAAATGAGCTGGTAACAGCTCGAAACGTCCTACCTTGGAGTGTTTTAATAATTTTTTAGCCTTGTTTATCCATATTTTTATTAAATCTCCTTCGTTATTCGTATATTCGGGTTATGTTTTTATGCTTTATCGTTAGCGAAAATGTTTAGTTTTTGTGATCAATTAAAATATGACCCAGAATAAGAGAAGAAAGGGAGCGAATTTGTTTATTTCATCCGTTAATTTTCATCAAAATTTGATTGAGTGCTTCAAAAGCGGCCGACGCTCCTATAAATGACCTTCATCTTTGGAAAACATTGCTAAATTTCCAAGTTTTTGATCCTAGAATGTCAAAGCCTGCAATAACTTCGTTTGAAATAGACGTTTGGTGTTTATTGAAGGAAATTTAACGATTAAAATTATTTTCCTAAAAAATAGCCGCATCTGAGAAGAAAAAAAATGCTGCGATGCCTCTGAAGCAAGTCAATTCCTTGGCTTCTCTTTCTCTCATGTAACACCAGTCTTCCCAGGGTTAAATTTAAAAACAAATTTTAGTCAACTTGTGGGACGAATTGTGAGAAACACTGAGACGCGTTGTCACAGGTTCTGAAACGCCTGTAACTTTAGCCTTTTTCTGATTCCCATGTTAAATTCTTAGAGTCATTCGCGATGGCTGGATTCAGTCTTTTTTCGCGTTTCAATCCGTTTTCTTCTCTATCTTCCAGACCTCGCTCATAAACATAATGACTGAACTTGCGCCAGATAACTTAACATCCAGCAGATAGCGCATAGGCTTGTTGTCTTGGCACCCGTGACGTCAGCGAGTCTAAACGTGGGTTGTCCGTTTTTCGTGGTCTTCCTCCACCTTGACCCATGCCTGGCATGTGTGCCACTCGCACCCCTCTGGCACACCCGCACACATCATAGTGCGACTATTCTGTGTAAAACTTACATTCAAAATGTTAATATACACTTTTCGGTCCATCTCAACTTAATCCTTTGTCGTTCAACGCCCTTCTGAAACATTTTTAGAGCCGTTAGAAGTTTTCAACCCTTCTTAAGTGTCATGGTGCCGAAACCAGCCCATTAAATGTGATACGCGTTTTACCACCATAGCGCGATTCAGGAAAAAGGTTCTGTGTTTGTTAACACTGGAAAAAAAACACATTGAATCTAGAGTCCAGACTCTTAAAAAAACATCGACAAGAAAAAGTACTCTTGATTCAATCAGATTTAAGCTTAAATCAAGAACCAAGCCTCTTAATTTGAGCGGATTTCCTTTTGATTCAAGCTTAAATCTGATTGAATCAAGAGTCCTTTTCTTGGTCAATGTTTTCAAGAGTCTGGACTCTAGATCCAAAGTGTTTTCTTTCCAGTGTAAGCGTGGGCTGTCCATATTACGTGGTCTTCTTCCACCTTGACCCATGCCTGGCATGTGTGCCACTCGCGCCTTTTTGGCACACATTATAGTGTGACTATTCTTTGTAAAACTTACATTCAAAATGTTATTCATCTATTATTCAAATGTTCAAATGTTCAATATCCACTTTTCGGCCTATCTATAACTTAATTCCTCAATCATTCAACGCTCTTCCAAAAGATTTTAGAGCCATTAGAAGTTTTCAACCCTTCTAAAGTATGGCATGGTGCCGAAACCAGCCCGTCAAATGTGATACGCGTTCTAGCACCATGGCACGAATCAGAAAAAAGATTGTGTTTGGTCATATTTAACCCATGACGGAGCCACTAAATCAGTCTATTCCGCTTAGCGCGGCAACTGGGATCCCGAAATCCTTTTCGCGAGTCCAGGCGTGGCAATGCTGTTTCGGTGGTCATCGCTACAACCATTGAACCCGACTCTCGATCGCACCCGCCGCCACCCCCCGGCATCCAACTCGGATCCGATCTCAACTTCTGACGCCTCTCTCGAATTGCACTTATTAACCGTCATCGCACCGCGGAATTCCGTCGGCGGCGCTGAGCATCCAGGATGTGTTAAATAGAGTCCCACGGAGGCGCCCGACTTAACTATTTCTCGGAACTATTTCGGAGAACAATTTGGCCGTAACACAGTGCCATGGAAAGTTCATTGTTAAAAGGGACCATTAGAGTGAGGTATTAAGCTCCGGTTCAAATACACGAGAACTCGTGCACATGAATTTCGCACCTAAAAATAAGTTAACTCGGCCGCCGTCAATACCAACGTGGAAGAGTTGTAGAAGGAAATTGGATTCTAGGAATCATAGATAGTGACACCAAAGATTTCAGACTTGAAATTTGCCCTGAGATGGGAGAGAAAACATGATTTAGTAATTTTCTTGTGTTTTAAAGATTGTTTCAGGTTCATCCTACAAAAATTATGGGCTCCACATTATCTTTAATGAACTGCTTAACAAGTTGGGTAACTAGCAGTTTCCTGTTAATCATACCATCAAAGCCGTTCGTAGATTATCGTAAGGGAATTTTAAAATTTATTAGGTCAACTCACAATTAAATGAGTAATTCTTGTTTTCTGTGTGTAGGAAAATTTGAACATTTTGTTCGTTAAAAAATTAATGTTGACTCAAATTAAATTTCAGTTCTAGTTAAATGTAAGGATTTTATAAGTTGAGGCGTATTGTTTTAAGTGCAGATTTTTCCTTGGCAGCCAAGTTTGGAAAGGCGGAAAGGAATTTTTGACGAATTAAACTCCAGCCATTAGCTTTAGCCGAGCGTAAAAGGGTGTCTTCAGAGGCCGAGTTGACCATTCTTAACTTCGTTCTGTGAAGCGGTAACTTTAAGATTGTAGATTGCATCGTTACCTTTACTCAATATTTCAATTTTTATGATAGTGTTGGACATTTCCAATGCATTATCTTTGTCACGTAGTCACCGATACTTCAGTCACGGCTGAGGGTGACGCCAAAGGAGTCGAAACGCGTCCCAAGTCGTAGGTATAGTGCAAATGAGTTAAAGTTTCGTCCATTTAATTGTTTGAAAAAAAGAAAAGAAAATTCATGAACTCACTCTCAGAACTTTGCACTTGTTCCATTAGAGTGAATTGGAAACACCCTATACCAAGGCAGTAATAAACATATTACTCTCCAGAAAAACTGACTTCATTTCCACGAAACGCGTCCCAAGTTTTATGTATTTTGCATGCGAGTGAGATACATTTTCGTCAGTTTAATGGTTTCAAAGAAGGAAAAAAATTCAATGAATTCTTTCTCACAACTTTAACACACTGCATGAAATGGATTTACCCTACAAAGGCACTATTAAAAATTTTATTCCCTACAAAAAAACACTTCATTCCCACGAATTCATTTTCTGGAGGACAACACGGCTTCACCGAGGCCAAAGCTTTCCTTACGAGGCGTTCCACCGATCTAAGAGAACGGTCCCAGGTTTTCCAGTCGGACGAGGACTCGAAATTGGCGGTCGCTAAAAAAATACACTTCCCCTCAGCTCACTACTTAATCGCTCGAGCATCACAGAGCCAAGAAAACAGGGGGCAGCCTCCTCGAGACCCCTTCATAAACCTGCTAGTTCGGCGGGACAGGACGAAAGCAAAGCCACGCTATGGCTAATCGGGCCGCTCCGTCACACAGTGCGGCCCTCTGAGGACAAAAATAAAAAATTCGCAACTCGACATCTCAATTTTTTTCGGAATTTGTCATCTCAAAGATATTTCTGACTCACTATGATGGTTCATTTTCAAATATTCCGCTCAAAACTACCTCAAATATGGGTAGATAGTGGGCAGGAAATAAGTTGAGAATCACTGGTCCGTAAGAAATACGCGGGAAAAAGACGTCAACTTCAAATGGAGATTTCTCGCTTGAAACGCAAAATGCTCTCGGTGGTTGACATTTTCTTAACCCTCAGATCTCCAACTTCAATTCTACGAAAAAGATCTTGCGACTTTTTGCGACTATCACAGATATTTGAAGTTAAAGTTTGGGTGTTTCACGTTGCTTTTACATTGTTAACACAGGGCTAATTCGAGGTTGCCAACTTCGAGTGAACTTTTCTTGAAAAATACGCAAAAAAACCTGAGGTATAAAATTTTCTTATTCCTAGAAAGTTTCACTTTGATAGTGCCAAAGGGTTTTCCTATGTCGGTACTATTATCTTCATTATTTAAAGTTAAGTGTCTTTTGCCGATTTTTGTCCGCGTCGTCCATAAGGGTGCCGCACTGTGCGTCAGGGAGCAACTCCAAATAGAAGCAGCGGAAAAAGTTATTTTCCTTTGTTAGCTTTGGAGGAACTACGAAAATGACATCTCTCACAGCCCGTTTCAGGGGCACGTCTTGAACTTCGGCGCCGGCCGCCGGATCGCGCAGGGAACCCTAGGAAAGTTCACGCGGTTCGGGACGTTTTCCGGACGATTACACAACGTATGCGGACAGCTTGCGTGGAAGCCGTGACAGATTTCCGCACGGTCCATCGATTTCACTCTCTCGGCCGCGGCGTGAAGGATCGATTATCGCTATATCGCCATTTGAAGCTAGGGTAAAGAATCGATTACTAAGGTGTTCGCTGCGAACGCCCATATAATCGATCTTTTTTCATAGGTTCGAATGGCGAATCAATCGATATATCGCAAAGCCACTGCAACTTTGTATCCCCGCGCACGATTTGCAGGCACTGGTGCGTATGCAGGGAAACGGGGCAGGATTATGAATTATAACTCTGTTTTTAATATTCTCTGAAAAGAACGAAGCCTCGCCCCCCCCCCCCCCCCCNGGGTTGCGAAACCGGCGAGATCATTTGTTTTTTTCGAGCGAAACACACTGAAAAAAAAATCTCGGTGTATTTACTAAGGAAAGGGTAAAATTACCAAGAATCCAGGGTTCTCTGTGATCCCAGTATTTTCTTGGTAAAATTATCGAACTTTCTCGGTAATTTTACTGGACCTTGGTAAAAACGTCAATATTTTTTATCGAATATGGTAGATTTACCGAGATAAAATGGTAAAGTTACCGGGAATCGATTGCCAATAATAATGGTATTCTTACCTGAAAAAAAAACAGTAAAAATACCGGTTTTTAGGTAAACTTACCGAGAATCGATTACCAATAATAATGGTATTCCTACCTGAAAAAAACAGTAAAAATACCGGTTTTTAGGTAAACTTACCGGTCTGTCTTGGTAAAATTACCAATAATTGGTGAAAAAAGTGAAATGGTAAAAGTACTAACGGACCTTGGTAGAAACGCCGAGAATTTTTTTTCAGTGCATTTGTTTCCTTCGAGTGGGTTTCGAGCGGAACGCTCGCGTCTGGAGAGCGCGACACTCAAATCATCGCACGGAGCGGCAACAGGGCGCGGCTCATAGAAAAGAGATTAGCCCAGGAATACACCACAACACAATACGGACGCGGAAATAAAAAAAAAGCGGATACGGAGAAGTCTCGGGGAGAGTTTACGAAACAACGATGACGCGGAGCTTTGTTCCTTGTGGGCCTTTGGGAAACGGCTTGAGCTAAATGGGTCGTGGAAATTGAGGGATGAATAAAAAATGATCGGGATTAGGAGGAGCAAACATATACCCGACATGCCGGAGCGCCTCGGGAGGTAATTTGCTTATTTTGAATTTTGTGGAGGATTGAATGGTTTCGGTTCGGGGATGCGGGTTAAAATCGGACCTGTTTTAACTGTCAGCCTCGAGTATCTTCATCGTTTAAACTCATACGAACACAATGATTTCTTGATGACAGCGTTTACAGCGTATTACAGTAAATACAGCGGTACATGGTAAATGAATAGTTTACACATCGGTAGAAATGATTGGTTGAATTGAGGCTGTGTAGATTTGGTATAGGTCAACAGTTGACCTGAAAAAAGCGATAAGAAAACGGCGTTTTGAATCAAGTCTTCGTTGTCTTGAATTAAAAAACTGGCGTTGCTTTGATTTTAGAATAATTAGAGACTCGGAACATGTCATGATAGTTGTCTTGTTTCATGACAACAAGATTTGCTAAACGAGGTAAACGGTAATAATTTTATTATTGCATCATTCAATTATTGCAGTTTGACGAGTCCAGGAACATGCCTCTTGCAAATTGCCGCGATTGCTGACTGCTTGCGTCACATAAAACTCATGAATCCCTGATTAAAAATATATTTGGTTTTGTTGTCTTCGATCAGAAAAACCAGAATGCTTTCAGTGAAGAAAAGAAGGGTTTGTAACTGGCTACAGTTGTCCTGTGTCGGGACAAAAAAGTTCTTGGATCCAGAAAATAATGTTACTTTAATTGAAGGAAATTATGGTTTCAAAACATGACTTCGCCGTTGTCCTGTCTCTGGAAAACAGTGACATGTTTCAAGAAATAATTACTTGAATTGAGAAAACATTTTCTTGTTTCAAGAAAAACGTTTCGAGAAAACGTTGTTGGCCTCTTTCAAGACAACTTTTTTCCAAATATAAGTAGAGAAGGCGTTAATTCAATGCAAAATTGTCTTGACCTAAGAAAACCACGATCAAGGAAACGTGTTGTCTCTGTCAACTCAAACCATTTCTACAGGTGCATTGTCTGTAATGATGTTACTGTGTTAATAAAGAAGTAATTTTTGATACGTAGAGGATTGAATGGAGTTCGGGTTAAAACTGACCTATGTTACATGTCAGCCTTTTAGTATCTTCATCGTTTAAACTGATACGAACACAACGGTTTCTTGATGACAGCATTTACGTCGTAAATACAGCGGTATACGGTGAACGAATAGTTTACATTGTTCGTATTAATGATAATGCGTTAATAGAGAAGTGACTTTTCATTTGTAGAGGATTGAATGATTCGGGTTAACAGCAAACCTGTTTTGAAAGTCAGCCTGGAGTATCGTTATCGTTTATATCGATACGAAGGCAACGATGTCTTGATTGGAGCATTTGCGTTGTAAATGCAGCGGCAAATGTTGAGCGAACAGTTAGACTGCATTAAGTAAAAAGGAACAAGCACGATTACAGTGTTTTCGAAATCGCGCAACTTCATCTTTCCTATTAAAAATGCTCAGTATATGTACAGCGATAACATTCACACAAATTATTTTCCTTCAAAATTAACAATTCTTTGGTGGGAAGCGAAAACCTCTCTATTCTGATAGATTTATTTTAAGGTAATAATAATTATGAAATAGCAACATTTTAACAACTCTGTGATCGCGCTGGTTTCTTTGTGCTAAATGCGATCCATTTTATGTTGTTCCTGATAATGATACTGTGTTAATAAAGAGGTGTCTTCTGTTTCAGGCTTTTGTATACGTATCAACCGCATTTTCACACTGCCCACGAAAGGAGATCGGCGAACAATTCTACCAGAGCCCGGTGGACGTTGATCAACTATTAACACTCAAAGACGTCTTGAACGAGGAGCAACTGGATACTTTGACGCCACAGTAAGTGCGAAAATCGAGCCTTTGGGTTTAGGAAGGGTATTATTTGGTTGCGGTATTTCAGAGTCTGCAGTGCTAATATTTAGCTAAGGGAGGAAATTAATGAGTGGATTTTCGGAAATTTTAAGTTTTCAGATCAATCTTATCATAGAGAATGTTCAGTTAAAGTTAAAAAAAAAAAAATTACATACATTTGCTAATATTATAATCGATGAAACGTTAGCGGATATTTTGAGACACTGCAACCAATAAAAGCGCATTCTTACACCCATCACTTCGATTAGTGGTTGTTTCTCTGAACACAAATAAACTATGAAATGCATGATATATTACACCAATGGGAGAACACATTAACAGCAGGTGCGTAATTTTAATCCCAAATTAGTGTGGGTTGTCAAAAAATTTCAGATTGAATTATATGAAAAAATTAAATTCAAATTAAATATCAACTCGAAAAAAGTTTGGCAGGTGTTAAAAGTTGTTTTGACAGATTCCCGTGGAGAGTAGGCGTCGCAGAGCGCCCTAGCGCGCCGTAAAAGCGGCTTATACACACATACATACGTACGTACATAAAAAGTTTGGCAATATCAAGGGCCGGATTTACCTACTTGCCGCCCACGGGCCGCCTGTATTCTGCCGCCCCCTTCTCATTCGTTTTGAAACATCATACATATGTACCGGGTGTCCATAAAGTAACTGAAAAGTGGGTATAATTTTTGAACAAAAAAAGATTGAAGGTCGCGGTTTGTGGCGTTCTTCATCATCCAAAAGGGGAAATTTTTCGATGGGGGGCTTTTCCTGGTGGACTCCCCTGGGGGGGCCCCAGGGGGGGCAACTTCAAAAATTCAAATGGCAACCCCCATTTTTTTAGACATGATTAAAAAGAACTTAAAAAGACAAGAAAAATGGCGCAAATAAAATTAAAATCGGTTATTTCGTTCAAAAGTTACAGCCGGTCAAAGTTTTAAATTGACCACTTTTCAAAAAATCGCCGATGAGCTCCAAATTATCGGAAAAACAAAAACAAACCGGGAATGAAAAGTTTGAAAAGTGCTTTTTAGGAAGAGGAAAAACAACTGACGTTGTCACAAGTCTGGATGGCATTGTTTCAAAATAAAATTTCGGAAAATTCAACATGGCGGCAAATTTGAGGAAACGCAAAAAATGAAAATTCCAGGAACTGTTACCTTTCAAATACCCTCTAGTTTAAGGAAATCAAAGGTATCAACTTTTATTCCTTTATTTGGCCAAGTAAGAGCAAATTTGCTGACTTAAAAGTTGTCAAGCGGGGCGCCTTCAATCGTTGGAGTATGCGACATCACAGGATTAAATGTGCTGTCGAAAAATGAAGCCGATGTGAAAAAGCGCTCCTCCTTTGGGATGCTTTAGAAAAGTTTGAGGTCCTCCTCCTCAAATTTAACGAGAAAAAAGAAGAAAAGTAGAATTTAGCAATTTTTACCCACAAACTTGGCGAGCCAAAAAAACATGATTTATCCTGGTGGGGTAGGGGCGGTGGACATTTTTGACATTTCTATCTCTGAAAATTAAAAATCCAAGAATAATTTTAATTCTCTAACTCCTGGCACTCCAATTTGGCAAGGAGGATATTTGCTACGCTAGGATATTGCCAGGGGGTCCACCAGGAAAAGCCCCCCATCGAAAAATTTCCCCTTTTGGATGATGAAGAACGCCACAAACCGCGACCTTCTATCTTTTTTTGTTCAAAAATTATACCCACTTTCCAGTTACTTTATGGACACCCGGTATAACGACCGTCAAGTAAACGTGCCGGAGAAGGAGGAGTGCATAAGACGCGTTTACTCGTGTTGGATACATTTTTGCGAGAGCCCTGTCAACACTACTAGCAAAATTTAACGGAACTTTGCGCGAAAGTTAAGTACCGTAAACATACCTCTGTGTGGACAAGGCCCTCCATTTAGAAGAAATGAACCAAAAAATGATGAAAGAAGAAACATACATGTGGTTCAATGATTTTAACTTCCGCCGCCGCGCCGCGCAGACCGCACCGTGTTGGACGCAATGCGTGAAGTATTCTTGCAGTCTTGTAGGCGCTATGCGTTTCACACCAACCGCTCCTGACCGCACTGTCTTTGACGCAATGGGTGAAGTATTCATGCAGCCTTGTAGGCGCTAATATGTGTTAAATGTCGACCGCCGTGCCGAGGGCTTGCGTCTTTTTCATCTCAAGTCCTAGTCATCATTCCTCTCTGCGCTGAGCTCCAGGCCAAATTGCGTGTTCAGTTCCTCTCTTAACTCGACTAATTAGAGATGCTGTCTCTTGTATCACCGAAAAACGACGAAATTAGAAATTACTTTACTATCAGAAAAGAGAGATGTTGTCCCCTTTTCTCATTCAGAATTTTTTTTTCTGAATCCGATTTTTTTTATACCTGCTTACATTTCAAAAAAATTCAAAATTTACCGCCCCCTAAATTTGCCGCCATGGGCCGCGGCCCATGTGGCCACCCCCTTAATCCGGCCCTGGCAATATCTGAATGTTCATACGGTGTTCTTCCATGGTACGGAAGTAGATATTGGAGTCCCTATATACTAACAGTAGAGAAAACGCGGCTCCAGGATGTCACAAACGGGAGTAAAGATTACACAAATCGAACGTTCTTCGTAATAATTTATGAACTCGTTCCCGAGTGCCGCGGTCTCCGTTCCCTCTCTCATACCGTTTGTTCCTTGCCGCGCCCCTAATTCCCTGCTTCATCCTAGTTTATAAAATCATTGCACTTGGTGAAAATATAACCATTATTCCCGTTTGTGACATTACGGAGGCCTAAATTACAGGAGCCAATCAGAAACGGACTCGTATTGATGTCTTTACTTTCAGTATGAAGGGACTCTGCTAGACCTAAGTGATAACCCATTCCGTGGTCGTTGCGAAGGTGGCGCCACTCAAAATCGATGTTCCCGTAGTGGCCCATAAATCGAAACAGAGCACTACGTTTTAATGCCCCCCAAGCATCATGATCTCATCTCCGATTGTACCTTCCTCAGGAAAAACGCAGTAGAGGCAAACAGAGGTTGCCGGATCCGCCTTGTTAACATACAAATTTTCTGGAAGAAATATGAAGTTTTTTTCTTGGATTATAAAAGAAATTTAACTCAGGTTGTACACTGCCGTTACCGATGGCTCAGAGGAGAAATATTTATGGTTTTTCTCTAAAGTAAATAATTTATGGGTAGAAATTCGATAAGATTGGTGCGTATATACAACATTTTTCCTGTGAACTACAGGATTGCAAAGCTTCCGGAACGGCAAGGAATCCTACTTGGAAATTGGTGAGTCTTCGACTAATTTCAGGGGCAGAGTTTCCCGCAGGAGAATCTGTTGACAATGGGTGTTGCCGACTTTCCTTGTTTTATTGGTTTTTTGGCAAGAGATCAGTTGCACGGATTGTTTTAAAAATGTTAAGGAATCCGCTTCATGCTACGGAAAATTTTCTGGAACTTTGTAAAGAATTGGTGCAAACTTTCTCTAGGAAAAGCAGAGCTTTACAAATGGAAGAGCAGCTGATATTACTTGATTCCACCTTGAAAAGCACCGCTTATAAGAAGGACAAGTCGCCCTCAAATAATGGTAGAAAGTTGCTCTAGCTGAAATTTGCAAGGTCGTACTATAAACAATGTATTGTGGAATACGCGGTGTTTATCAAAGAGAACGCTAGTAAGTCACCTCTACATGGTGACCTCCGGTTCTTTCTCCTAAAAATGTAGAGCGCATACTCGTGACGCATATTGTGGAGTTAGGCGTGCACATCAGACTTTTCTGATAGCGCTCATCGTGACTTTGGAGCCATTTTCTAAAAGGTATAACTCGTCATTTTGCTTTGGCTGAAGTTTGCAAGAGGCCCATTTGGCAAAGCCGCCCCACATTCAAATCCCTCGAACGCAACGGAACTAGCCGTTCAAAAAACGCGCGGAGACGGCAGGTACGGCGGCGCCTTGCGGGAAATATGTTCTCGACGGGGTCCATAAATCCGGGTGCTTGGCGTTTTATCATTATTACCGCTTTAATCTGTTGATTGCGCCGCGGTGAGCGCTCCCCACTTTCTCCCCGGGCGCGCGGTTTAATGTTTTGATGTTCCGGTCCTGTTCCACCACCTTAATCAAAAAACGCCTAACTCACATGGTGAACAGTGCGCACTTCCGCGGTTTTGCTTTGGGAGGGCGGCATTGTCGGTTCCTTTCGCACTCCCGACTCGGTTTCGAGAGCCTCGAACAAATTGCGCGTCGTAAAAGGCAGCCGGGAGAGCTTTTCCCGACGAAAATGAGCGGGGACAATCCTCGGTCACCCGCGCGGGGGGAGGGGGCGGACGGGGAGGCGAGAAAAACTTAAAATATTATTTCAATTGTTGTCCGGAGAGCCTTGACGGGAGAGAACAGCGCCGCGACGCCAGATCGGACCGTCGGGAAAACTGGGGAAATTCGACGGGAAAATGGGTCAGGAAAAGCCGGACGAGTTCGGGAAAAGAGAAAATCATTCAAAAGTGAGGGGACAGTAAGCTTCACTTATGTTGTTAACTTTATCGGTCATACTTTATAAAATTTCGTATAAAACTTTTTCTTACCAATTTTTCCAAAACATTTTGTTAATACTTCACTACAGCTGTTTCGAGCAACCGCTCATCGTCCGGTGATTAAAAAATGTATTCGGTGGTGTGGTGAAGTATCGACAAATTTTTTTAGAAAAATCGGTAAGAAAAAATTTTACGAAATTTGATAGTGAGCTTGTTCAACTTTTGAAAAAATTAACCTGCAAGCTGGTTATTGAGGTTGATGGACAAAGAAGTAAAACGATGAGGACATAGCGAAAATGGAGCAATTTCATCGGCTGAAACGGATGATCCTTATAGACTGAAGGAGAAAATGATGGATATGGGGTCTCTCGTAGGCTGCCGTTAATTGGTGCATTACTTTGTATATTATCGGTTTTACTTACTAGTTATTATATTATTAGTTAATTTATTATC